CGAAACGGTTGGTGTGTACTCCCGTATACGACACGGCGATATACGGCCGTAATACGGCGCATACCAAAACGTTAAAATACGGCCCGTATACGGTCGTAAATTCGGCGTATACGGTCGTATACGTCATCGTAAACGGCCGTTTACCGCCGTATCTAGTCGTCGTAATGCTCGACCTGGGTATTTCTTTCTGCTTGAAAGGAATAGAAAAGGCGAGAAAAGAATGATCTTAAACTATAATTTTCATGCTGTTTTACCAAAGGTTTGTTACAGAATTTTCTGATAAAGAAATAAGTCTCTTATGAGATAAAAGAAAATAAACAATTCTTGGTTCTCTAAAGAAAGACCAATAAAAAAAAAGATTTAAAATAAAATTCAATCTTAGAGGAACAGTGGTTCCATTAGAAAATTCAGAATACAAAAAAGCTAGCAAAATAAAAATGTAAAAAGCGGATCGTGAACCGTTATGTGATAGCTGTTGTTCGCAAGTTCTTTTAGATTGTGAGAATTTTGGTGAACCTTATTTCATCCTGGCGAGTTTTCCAATGGATTCATAGAGGTATCTTCAAGGTCTATCAAAATTTATTAGAATCTGTCAGGGCTTGCTTATCCTTCCTTTTAAGTTCAATAAACTACGTTTAACAAAATGTTATATGTTTTATCACATGTGTGATAAAATTTAACCGAAAAAAAGATTCGATTTCAATGTTGTTAATAACAGGAGATATGAAATGTTGTGACCAAATCTGTTGTTCCCTTATTTTTATCTATATAAAGGCTTGATTAGATAACACACATAGAGTACGATGTGTTTTTTGAAATTCGAAATACATATTCTCAATGCAATCAGGGGACGTTTTATATAGAACACAATAAGTTCTACAGATGAAAAAATAATTGGAAAATTTCGAAATAGAACTTCGAAACTTTTTCGAACAAATGAATACGTTAGTAATAAATGATTGCTCAATGAACTTTTCAATGCGTTTGTTTGTTTTACCTTATTTAAGGTGCATTGGGTATCTTCCGTCACGTTCGGTTCAGTATCTTCTAAACGTTTGTAATTAATTTGTGAATGAACAAATGCATCCTGGAAAAATAGATACAGTATAAATATTTGTAAGAAAAAAACATTTTTTTAACGTATAGGAAAGTTGGAAAATGGAAAGAATATAAATGGAGATATCTCTAGTGAAACATCTTGTAAGTAAGATTTTGGCCAAGATCTTGGGTACAGATAAGTGAACAGATCTTGAAAATTTAGGTACAAGATAACTGTATTATCTTGTACCCAAGATCTTATTACAGATCTTAAGTAAGAATTCATAACATCTTG